CAGGGGCGCTGGATGCTCAGGGCAGGGTTGTGGGTCCCCCCTCCAAAATGCTGCCCCCTCCTCCACAGGCTTTGCGCCAGCTGCCAGAGCYTCTTCCCAGGGGTGTCGCTGCCCCCCCAGCGCCGCTGCCGCTGGCTCTGCCCTGACTGCCGTGGTGAGCTTYAGCCTCAACACCCTCCTCCTCTCTCCTCTCAGAGCCTTCCTTCCCCTGTGCTTTTCATTTTCCTGCTCTTCGTGTCCTTCATTACCTAATTGCTCACACCACCATCATCATCATTCTTGGAACTGCTTGAACCCCATCAATATTGTAAATTTATTGTTCTGAGCCTTTCTAGTTCTCCTTGATCCTTCCTTGCTTCTTTTTTCTTTTGTTTTGGGGCCTTGTGGGGGGGAAGGGGAGGGCTCAGGAAGCCCGGAGGAGTCTGGGAGGGGGGTCAGGGTACCCTGGTGGGGGGTCCCAGGCAAGCTGGGGTGACCCTGACCCCTCTCCTTGATCTTCTTGCAGCCCAGAGACGAGACTTCAACCGGGAGCAGCGATTCTATAAGGTACTCTTTGTCCCTTGGGGAAATTTGGGGGGATATTGTGCCCCCCCCAAATGCCTGGGTGTCCCTCAGATCCCTCAGRGGGTTTGGGGCCCTGCTGTGCCCCCCAGATCCGTGACACCCCCTCCCCACAGCGGGTGGGTTGTGGCTTGTGCCAGGCCTGTCGCATCCCCGAGGACTGCGGGATCTGCAGCGCCTGTTCCCGCAACAGCCCCGGGGGCCCCTCCGGCCCTGCCCGGACCCCCAAGTGCCTCCTGCGCCGCTGCCTGCGCATCGTCAAGAAGGTACCACCATCCCTGAATGTCACTGTCACCCTCATGTCACTGTAATCCTCACCCTCCTAGTGTTACAGTCACCCCCGTGTGTCAGTGCTAGGCTGTTTGTCCCCTCTGTCATCCCCATGTCCCCTCCTTTGTCTGAGGACATGTGTGGAGCTGCGTTAACCTATGTTAATTAATGTTCACTTGTATTAATGCCTGGTTTTGGTATTGGTTTGCGTTATTCTGTGTTATCGTATGTCAGCAAATGTTAGCCATTGTTATCCCATGATAACGTGTGTTATCCCATGATAATCTGTGTTACGCCATTCTCTTCAGTTATTTCACATTATCCCATATTTACTGCGGGGCCTGGGTGTGACTCCTGCCCTACCTGACCCCTGTTCCCTTGTCTATGGCTGCACACTCACATGTGTTCTCTTAACCCGCATTCACCTACGTTCTCCTGTGTTTATCCATGTTATCCCGTATTTTCTTGTGTTCACCCATGTTGTGTTATCACATGTTCTCACATGTTATCCCGTGTTCTGTCCCGTGTCCCAGCAAAGCCTGGGCTGTGGCTCCTGCGCCGGCTGCCTGAGCACTGAGGACTGTGGCAGCTGCTGCATCTGCCTGCGGCGTCTCCAGCCGGGCCTCAAGCGCCAGTGGCGCTGCCTGAGGCGCCGCTGCCTGCGCCCCAAGGTGGGACATTGTCCCCAAGTGTCCCCCCACAGGGTCACCCACACTGTCCCTGGTTACTCCTGACATCCCTGCCCTTCTCCCCTTCCCTGAATACCTGCCCCAAGGACCCCCTGGAACCTCCTGGCCTTCCCCTCCTCTCTGCCTACCCCGATGTCACCCTGGGGTGTCCCCAATCCTTGATGTCCCCTCCTGACCCCCCGACTCCACCCTGTGTCCCCCCAGAAAGCGAGGGCAGCCAAGAAGACCCAGAGCCCACAGCTGCTGACGGAGGTGAGTGCGGGACCCCTGGGGGTGGCAGAGCCCAGACCCCTGAGTGTTCAGGGTGGGGGTGGATCTTTGGGTGTCCCCCCTCACCCCAATCTCTCCTCCCAGAAATGGAAGCCCCCCGTGGAGCGGGAGCCCAGCGATGCTTCCAGCATCAGGCACAAGGTGAGTGAGACCCCCTGGACACGCCTCGGACCCCCTGGACATCCCAGGGTCCCCTACTGACCCCCTGCTCCATCCCAGAAGCCACTGACCAAAGGGAAGGAGAAGAAGAAGCCAGGGCGACCCCCGAAGCCCCCCGGGCCCCGTGGTGGGGGTGGGGTGAGTGACAGATCATTGCCACGCCCCCTGTGCCTTAGCCCCACCCCTTTGCTTCCTGGCCCCGCCCTTCCCAGGGCAGCTATTAGAGGCTGGGCAGGCCGTAATGCCTTTAATATAAGGGCGTGTAAAAGGGGTTATTATTGAGGTATAAATGATGATGGGGAGCAGGTGCCGTAACACTCCTAATGGCACTTCCAGCTCCTTATGCCGGAGTTCAGGCCCCAGAATAATGGGGTGCAGGTACCGTAATGATCCTATGATTCGTTCTAGGGTTGAATGTTGGGGTTCTATGCATTTGAATGCTTCAAATGGTTCAAATTCAAATGTTTTAAAAATTGGCCACAGTAATACCTCTAATGCTGGAGCCAAGTTACCTTGACACCCCAAGAGGTGGTGGTGAGGTTCCAGATACCCCAACTGTGGGGTGGGAGTACCCTAATGCCCATAATAGTGATGTTGGGGTACCCTAATGCCCCTAATAGTGGGGTTCAGTATCACAGCGCCCTTAACAGCAGTTTGGTTACCGTAATGCTCCTAGTAAATCTCGAGACTGAATATAAGGTACTGTAATAGGGGGATGCAGATACTGTAATGCCCCAAATACTGTGGTTCAACTACTTTAATTTCCTTAATAGCTGCTCTTACCTGCATATCTGGCTTTAGCCTAACTTGCTGCTGCTGCCTGGCTGTCATAATAGCCCTAATACTACCGCATGCTACCGTAACGCTCCTAATAGCTGCTCCCACACTAACAGCCCACCCCCCAGGCGGGCCCTGGGGACAGTCGGTGGCCTGGGGGTGACCCCGCTCTCTGCCGGCAGCGGGGGGTGCGGAGCCGGGCCAGCCGGCGCTGYGGGGTGTGTGCAGCCTGTCGGCGCCCGGCCGACTGCGGCCGCTGCGACTTCTGCCAGGACAAGCCCAAGTTCGGGGGGCAGAACCTCAAGCGCCAGAAGTGCCGCTGGAGGCAGTGCCTGCGCTGTGCCATGGTGGGTGCCCCCCAGTGCTTCCTCCCATTAACCTCCAGCGAGCCCCAGCCATTCCTTCCGCCCCCTTCCTCACCAACCCGACACCTTTGGCTGGGGAAACTGAGGCACTCACAAGGCTGGGGCTCCCCCCGTCCACCCCAGCACTGGGTGCGACCCAGTTTGGACCAATATGGATGAGTTTAGGATGGGGGGAGGGGTTGGTTGGCACCCAGGTGGCACCTGGACGCCGGGGTCCCGTCTTTGGGGGGTTTGCCTGGACGCCTGGGTCCTGTCTGCATTGCTTGGCTTTGGAGGGGCTCACCCCGGGTCCCTTTTTTGAGGGGGGGGGAGGGGGTCCCTTGGCCAGCTGGGTCCACCTGGGGGGAGGTTGTTCCTGCATCTGTGTGTCCCCCACCCTCATCCATATCCCCCCCACCTTGGGTGCCCCACCCGCTCTGAGTCTCTCTCCTGGCGCAGAGGCGGCTGCTGCCGGTGGGGGGGGGTCGCTGGGGGTCCCCCTGGAGCGGCCGCCCCCTCCCCTCGTCCAGGCCCCGCCGCCGCCGGCCCCCCCGGCCCCCCCGCGCCGCCGCCCGGAGCCGCCGCCTGCCCCGCCCCCCCCGAAAGGTAACGGGACCACTTCCCCCCTGTGCATCAGGGGGGACCCCAAAACACTGCTGTGACCCCGACGGGACCCTCACCCCCCTGTAAATAACCCCATCCCCTCCCCCGCTCGCTGTGCTCGCTTCGCTGCTTTGCTCTGCACGGACCCTCCCCCCATCAGGGGACCCAGGCGTCGGGGGAGGGGACCCAGGTGTCCAGGCACCCCACCCCCACCCCAGGAGGGGGCTTGGGGAAGGACTGAGGGGGTTTTAGGGACCCCCCCAGAAGCCTCGGTCCCCCCTGTGACCCCAAGGCTTGTGTGTGCCTCAGTTTCCCGGTGGGGGATGAGGTGGGGGTTCCTCCCCAGACACCTGGGTCCCTTTTTGGGGGGTGGTGGGGGTCTCTCCTGGGACTGGGGGGGACCTGGGATGATGGGGGGTACCACCTGCTGGCTGCCGGGGTTCCCCCTGATGTGCCCCTYYCCCTCTCTCCCYTCCCCCACAGGACAAAGAGGAGCCTCTGGGGGGGGCTGAGCAAGACTCTGGGCCCCTCCCGGGTCCCCCCCTGCGCCTCTGCCCCATCAAAGAGGAGGCGGGACCCCTCCCCCGCCTCGAGGTGAGACCCCCCGGCTGCCTGGGACCCTCCCTGGACACCTGTGCCCCGCCCCCGCTAACTCCCCCCGCCCCCCAGGACCCCCGGCTGGGGCTCCTCATCGCCTCGGCCCCTCGCCTCAAAGGGGCCCCCCCAGARCCCAGCGCTGCCCCCGAAAGGGTGAGTTGGCACCCTGAGCACCCCCTGATCTTCCCCCTGGGGTGCTCGGGACCCCCGTAACGCCCCTTCCTCCCTTTCCCAGCCCCCCCCAGGCGATTTGGGGGTCCTGATCGCCGCCACCCCCCGGGTGAAGCAGGAGCAGCCACAGCCCAGCGCGTCCCTGGTGCCGGTAAGGGGGGATACCTCGGGGTTTGGGGGGSCTCCCTGACGCCCCTCACCCCCTCCTGAACCTCTGAATCCACCCCTATCGCCCCCCCCAGGTGCCTCCCCGGCCGCCCCCCGCCCAGCTGGTGGTGCTGGATGAGAGTGAGGAGGAGGAGGAGGAGGAAGAGGAGGAGGAGGAGGGAGGCAGCCGAGTGGTGAGGAAGGGGGAGGCACTCGGGGAGGGGGAGTTGGGGATTTTGGGTGGGCTCTCGATGGGTTGGGGGTATCCTGGGGGGCTCTGAGGTTTTGGAGAAAGTGGGTGAAGGAAATCTGCGAGAGTACTGAGAAATGGGGCCTTTAACGGGGGAGGTTTTTAGGGTGACTTGGGGAGGGGACTCTCGGGGACATCCTCGGGTTTTTAGCGGGGGTCTCAAAGCAGGGTGGCCTAGAAGGGGGAAGTGAGGCTGTTCAGAGTATTCTGGGGGTCTCTCGATGGATGAGAGATGGGTGGGGATGCTCTGAGGCTTTAGAGGGGGTGGGCAAAGGGGATCTGGGGAGGATCCTAAGAAATAGGACCTTCAGTGGGGGAAGTTTTTAGGGTCCTGATGGATTGAGGACTCTTGGGGGATTCCCTGGGTTTTTAGGGGCAGGGGGGTCTAGAGGGGGCATCCCGCGGCTCTCAGACRAATTTGGGGTCTCCTGGAGGACTCTCAGAACACCCCCCACCCCCACTGACCCCACTCCCCCTCTCCCCACAGCCCCTCCCAATGCCCCCCGCCCCTCAGCTGTGGCCGGGCTCCTTCCTGGAGGAACTGGCCGAGATCCCTCTGCCGGCGCACTGG